TGGACTAGCTGTTAGCTCACTGGACTAGCTGTTAGCTCTGTGGACTAGCTGTTAGTCTGTTTGGTCAGAATTTAACCAATTCTCCAAACTGTCCCTTCAATGAGCTATCATCAGTAAGAAATTTGTTCTAAACTGTTCCAGAGAACTCCACCTCCACAGGCCTGAACTGACACTTTAAGAACACAAGTTCAAGATTGTTGAGATGTAGACAGTGAAATATACAGAGTCCTACTGAAAGGTAGTACAAGAGAAATACAGAACTGCCACCTATAAAAAGTAATAATAAAAAAAATATACCAAGTGAAGGAACTCGATGACCATTCACAGAAAATAAAAATGTGTTGTCTGCTACGTGCCAGTGTTTTTCTTCACAATATTCATATAAAAACATGAAAATAACCTGGTGATACAGAAACATGAAAGAATATAAAACTACAACGCAGTAGCATCAATACCATTCTGACTTGCCTTGTCACTGTTCACAGTTTACGCACAGTTTGGACATACAAAGGGAAGGAGACCAGAGGCCTTGATTCATAGCTTTGCACAAAACCAGCACCATCACTGGTAACATTAGCAGTCCTTTCAGAACTGTTTCCTTTAAGTGCTTTTATTAATAATTTCAGTGGTACTGTCGTTACACTTTAAATTCACATCTAGCATTCATTTTATTTAGATTAGTTTCTTTTTTCCATTTCATTAAAGTGTCCATTCATATGAAAACTAAACTTTTATTCTATACATTTTCTAACTTCTTTTTTTTTTTAACGTGAATACAGGTTCCTCGAATGGGGCGGGTTAGGGTGTGATTGATTTCCCCCATAACCAGTCAGCATGCTGGGAGAGTACTGTATTTAAAAAAATAAAGTGAAATGAATCAGCACGAGGGAGGTCCAGGTGGTCCGAGGGCACATAAAGAGAAAACGAGAGAAAAAACAAACGTTACTCTCATGTCTGAAGATAAACCCATAAATAGGAGCAGGAACAGGTTTGAAAATCCATCTCTACTGTTCTACAAAGTTTTCTTTATAACTTTGATTTAAATATTTTATTTTCACAATGTACCAAATACTTGTCTTTGGGTGGTGGGACTGCTGAAAAGCCAGTTTAACACTTAATTATAGTAAATGGCCACAGTGCGTGCAGATCAATCAGTGGTTCAGGGGCCTCATGTATCCGAGCGTGTGGTTTTCCTACTGAAACACCTCCATTTAAAAATGTAAAATAGATGCGAATATGTTTCACGTGTGGGATTCTCGTCACTGCATGTTAGAAAATTATGTCTAGGTGTATCAAAATTAGGAATATAATGGGATATCAGTCAAAGACACTCCTATATAAGTTAGTGGGGTGTAGAGATGTGTGTGTGTTGTCGTTGGTTGAGTGACGTGAATCGGGATACTGATCTGCCGGCGACGCACTTCTGAGGCCGAGGCATTTCCAACTTTACGCATGTGTTTTAAAATATGAATGACTGTAAACACACAGGCACTCAGGAGTTTAGTAGAACTTAGAACTTTATTCTAAAAAAGTTAAATCTGGTCCTCTGGACATTCAAAAAAACAAAACAAAGCAAATCAACAAAAAA